GAAAGGTACAGTAAGGCTCAGTTTCTATATGAAATTTTATATTTTACTCCATTTCATATCTGAGATTCATATGTGAAATCAATGTGCATTAATACTTTTGCCGCGCCTCTATTCAGTACTTGCATATATCAGTCTGGAACCCAATCCTTCATTGTCAAGAAACAAATCTGTCCCAATCATGCACAATTCAAAAATAAGATTTTACCCTAGTGTGAACACGGGACTAATATGCAAATTCAATGGGAGATCAGAGCCATAGGCACAAGTGCTGTTCTCAGTGAAGGTACAATATTGGAAGGGAAGAAGAGAATTCATTCAGTTAGCATTTTAAAATGAACTTACCAAATTCAAACTCACCAAAATAAGATATGAACCAAAATATGAATGTCCTCAATTATTTGCCCTTCCAGAATTTTGTAGTGAGTAAAGCAAAAATGTGCAATTCAAAAACAGTATCAAGAAAAAATATGAAAATGCACCTTGTTATTGTGTGTACTAAAAATAAGCACAGACAAATGTACAAATGGGAAAAAAATGAGTTTGGAAAACAATTAAAAACAGAAAAAAAAACAAAACAGATTCAGCCATCCCTAACCTTTGCCTTATGGGCACCCAACTTATGCAAGTAATCATTTATTTGCATAATTTGTATGCTGTCTTTCTTTTTGAAAAAAGACAGCAAAAAAAGAAGCTCATAAAAAAATAATTAAGGCCTGGCAAAAGGCAGAGAATGCGTGGAGCCCCTGCAGTTCCTGAGGGCATGGCTTCCATTGCCTGGCAGTGCAGAGGACCGTCCTCATCAGTATTACGGCTCTGGCGCTTACCTTCTGTCCTTTGGCTCCAGCTGCACCTGGGGGACCTTGGAGACCAAGATCTCCCTTCTCTCCACTTGAACCTTGTGGACCTGGCTGACCAGGAAAACCTACAAGATGCACAAAAATGCCAAGGATTTGCCTAACAGATCATGATAAACTCCTAATTGTGTCAGAAACCTAATGGAAAGATAAGATCTGGACTGATGTTAAACAGAAGAAGGTGCTTTGAACGTAACAGAAATTAAGGTGAATCTACCCTCTCCTTCATCAACCTGCTTATTTTTGAAGATCTTCCACCAAAGTCCTTTTCCATGTATGAGTATTACATAAAAGGAATGTCTGGTTGTGTTTCCATGGTGAAATGCCTTCACAAAGATTTCTGCCTGCTGTCAACATTACTATCATGTAAGTGCCCAGTAAAAGATGTTTTATTTGCCACTTATTTAACTACATACATTTAAGCCTGTTTTAAAGGGATTTTTCCCTGTTTTGCTATTTTTCCTTTTTTGTACTATGTTGACTATTGCCTTGATAAAATAGGTATAAACGGTCTTTAAAGGAACAATTACATTTGAACAGTTGCAAATCAAGATATCTTCATCCTTAACATGACCCCTTGAGCACAATTGTAAAAATGATCTACTAGAAAGTATGAATGTAAGGCTATAATTATAATGATGGTACAAAGAGGGCAGCATTATCAGCTACTTTCAGTTATTTTCTTTCTCTGACCACAAATAATAGTGAGCATTTGTCTCTCTGAAATGTGGCCATTCTGCCCAGCAAAACTGATCTTTTTCCTCCTGGTTTAACTTGGCCCTTTCCCTTTCAATAACAGGACTTCCCAGCAGCCAAAAAAGAGAGGAGGTTAAGTAGGCTAGCTTCTAAGGTTGTACTAGCCCTTCAAAAGAGGTGTTCCACCACACATGGGAATGTGAAGCAAAGTGGCTGAGCGTAAACATGCACGTGGAAACAGCAGCTTTCAAAGTAGCTGCAGAAGCCTGGAAAACAACGGAGCTACTTTAATGATCCAAAATGTTGTGAAGCGCTTCCTTTGAAGGATTGGCACACTCATCTTAGCATTGGCTTGGATACCCTCAATAAGGTACCCTCTAGTGGGAGCCTCTTAAGCCAGCTTCTAGGAGGATAATACATGCAGTGATAGTTGAGAGATTGAATCAAACTGGATTATTTATTTTCCACAATATGCGAGAGCAATTCTATTTCAAAGGCAATTAAAACATCAGTTATCTGTGCCATTTGCCTTTATGTTCAGGAGAGGACAGGGATAAGGCAGATCAGGCACCAGTGATAGGCCCAGTTGCTGAACAGCAAAGCCAATTCTCTCAGTCTGTCATGACCTTTGTTTAAATATGCTTTAAAGGGGGGAAGCATAGAGCCAAAATATAATTTAATCCCTTAAAGGGGGAGCAGATCAAACTATCTACAGTATGTTGAACAAAAAGATTTTAATACGGGAAGTGGTTTGAATTCCTTGTTTGGGAAGCTTCTTGGTAGGTCTTATTTTTTATCAAAATAATATTGACGTGTTAAAAAAACTAAACAAGCCATCTTATCCAACCCCATCACATTTCTTTGATAATCACCATTTAAAATATATCTGGAATCTGCTTTGGTCCCATCCACAGTATAGAAAAGTTTCTGAGATTTTGGCCATCCTCTATCTACCTCAAAACGTCTTCTTCAAATGGTCATTCACTTTATAGTGTAACTCATGTAATACCTGGGGGCCCTGAAGGGCCAGGAAATCCAATTCCTGCAGGCCCTGTCAGACCTTTTTCACCTGGCAGGCCAGGTCTTCCTGGGATCCCTGGGTCTCCCTTGTCACCTGTGGAGTTATGTACAAAATGAGCCAGGTGTTGTTCTTATGAAAAGGAATCATTATGGAACAATTAAGAACATTCTCCACATTATCATTAGACAAGATACCTTGGAGGCCTGGATTTCCAGGTTGTCCAGGAAAACCTCTGAGCCCTTGAGGACCAGTCACAGTAATGACATGTCCAGCTTCACCTTTGGGACCTTGTAGTAAATATATAAAAAGATATACCAAATTAACAAATACATCATCTACTTTTTCAGAATATGCAATTTAACTCCTAATATTTATTTTCACCTACATAACTGTTAAAACAAGAATTTACAGTACCTCTGGATTCCATGAGAAAAGTAACTTAGGCTGCAACCTTACACTAGTTAAGCAGAAAATAAATCCATGTTAAGATTGACCTACAGGGGAACAATCTTAATACACAATTTTTTCCCCATTTTTGTTAATATCTTTATTTTTTTGTAACAAAACAACCTTTAATCTTAAAAAAAGATTAAAAATAAATAAAAGTATAAACTAAAAATACAAACTAAAAAGGAAAAGGAAAAAAAAGAAAAGAGTATTTTCTGGAAGAATGGGACATCTTCAACATGTTGAGAGGAATCAAATCTGTCTCAGGTCATTTCAATTTCAAGATTGACAGGCATCAAATTCTGGCTGAGAGTGGGATAGCAATGATAGTGGGATAGCAGTGAGAGAAAATTCTTTCAGAGAAGCAACCTCCAATAGTTTATTTCCATATTTCCATTTCAATCAGGTGCTATAGAATAACTTTTCTCTATCCTCCAATTTTCTAAGAAGACAGAAAAAAGGAAGGGAATGCATAAAGGAGCCCCTTTCACCATATTTTTCTATCAAGTTCAATATCAAGAAGAAGAGCAAAATTTATGCATTTCCCTGAGTAGTGAAAAGGTGGCAGCAGGCCATCACTTGAATCATCTAAACATTAAGTCTTAATGGTGACTCTTGGACAGATGTTCTGTTGACCCAGTATGCCACTTAGTTCAATTTTTTTGGCTAGATGTTCCACACTGGAGGACAGCAGTCCTCTGCTTACTTAAGAAACTCCACCATTTTCTTGATTCGTAACTTGTTCTGACTTCATGCAAGCTGTGGCAAACATATTGTTAATTCTGATGAGAATGTATTTTCCTGAAATGTCATTTTTGAACTCTTTTATATCTGGTTGTCTGTCCAGAGTTCTAATCAATCTATGTTTCTGCTTTGTTCTAGTCTGAACTATTTATTTATTTATTAATCAATTATGTATAAATTATTTGACTAACTTCCTCAGATAACATGGTATTTATTGGACCAGATCCCTACCTAAACAATTTGATATGCATTTTAATTATGATTGACTAGTTCCTTTAGACCCAATGTTTCCTACAGTTCTGAGTGTTGGAAATGGACCCAGGTTACTTGCAGCAGCCATCATTCTGAGAGATGAAATGCCTTCCATGAAACTCAAACAATCAGTCAACTTCACCCTGGCCTGTGTTGATATGGCTATCCAAAGAAAGAGCAAAGTATCATTCTGATAATTAAAAGAAAAACCTTCAGCACCTTTTGTGAATGAAATTGGGATTAGTTTATTAGAGCACTGGAGGATACCATAGTACACATCAGTTTGGCCAAGGATGTAAGGTTCGGCTATGGCACTGACCCTACTTGTTATTTCTGCCCACTGCATATCATGAGAAACATCAAGGATTGCAAAATGTCTAAGATAATTCTTTCACTGGGTGGGAAGCAGTAAAGTCTTTTTCAGATTCATATTGAATCTGCAATCTCACAAGATGAACAAAATTACATGGATTCTGCCTTTATTTTGTACTTGCCCCTTCATTGTAATGTCAATGGGGCAGTGGGCTACTTCTAATGATTCAAGATTT